CAAGCAAAAATAGTTCAAACACTGGAAAACAGTTAAAGCTGAATTCAAATGCACCAGCGTATGAAAGCTGAATTCAAAACCTTGAAGGGTGAATCTTTATTCCGCGTTAATAGTTTACTCGCCAAAATTTTCCTTAGGCCGTAGGTGATACTCAAGAGCGTGGGAACGCTGAATTTAAGTAGGCAAGGTTAAGCGTGGGCAGGAGGTCATTACCCTAAAATTTCAGCCTCATAGACCCCGTGGTTCCTGAGATAATTTACCCGTAAAAAACTTCCACGAGGCCGTACGTAACTTTCACGAGGCCGCGGGAACGGGAAAGCTGCATTTAAATTTGCGAGGTTACACGTGGGTGGGGAACATTCCCCTAAATTTTCAGCTCCCTAGCTTTTGTAGTTCCCGAGTTGAAAGTTGTGGACAAGTTGCTGCGGACACACACACACAGACAACCCCGTGACAATATACGTCTTGTACTGCTTTTACACAGCACAAAACGCATAATAAAATATTTCAGTGTTAAAAGAACTAATAAAATGTTGAAAATATTTTTAGTGGTAAGAAATGTTTCGGTCCATTAAGTCGTATACATTTCTTACCATTACCACAACTGAACCTCGTCAGTACGACGATTGTGGTAATTAGTATGAATTTGATTGTGGCATAAATAAAACAAACATTTTTTGAAAGTGAAAATGAAAACTCTTTCAGCATCCCACTGCAAGAGCTGCCGAAGCAGTGCTAGGTAGATGGGGTGGCACCAAACGCCAAAAGCAACCACTCGTTGGCAAAATATATTGACAACTCCCTCTCCCGAGGAGAGGCGATTTTGAGACCCAGGTGTTTGCCAGTACCAATTTACCACCGGAACGAATGAGAGATTGCTTGTTACACAACCCGAATCGTGCTCTGAGCCCTCAGCGCGAAAGTTTTGTTACTTGCCACTGCATCATGCTTATTATACACTTAAAAAAATAGCACATTGCTTCTTAGCACAGCAAGTTCAGCGAACGCCCCGCACTGACATTATAACCATCGTGCACATATTATTTGCGAATGAGGAAAGACAACGAGAACTAAGGGAAGTCCCAGGAAACAAACCTGTAAATTCTACTGAAACAGGGCAGTCTCTAACAAGAAAAACTGCGAAAAACCGGCTGCCGGTGCGAAGATACGTTTTTTGCCTGGCTGCCCGCAGGTTTTTTTCGCTAACGGCGCCGGTTTTTCCCCAGATGCTTCTAGCCAGAAGAATTGAGATGATCACCAGGACTGTCAGGAAATATTCCCTCAAAATCCCAGTCTTCTAACTTTCCAGGTTCCCGAGGTTGCAACTTACCCGAAAAAAAATTTCCCTGCCCCGTACGTGAGAATCACGCATACTCGGTGTCTGGGTTTGAGCTCATTAAGACTACGTGGACGGGAAACACCTCCTTAAAATTTCAGTTTTCTAGCTTTTCTGGTTCCCGAGTTAGCAGCTTGCCCGTCAAAAACTTTGGCGGGCCCTTGAGTACGTAATACGCGGGTAAGGGCGCCCATACTGAGGATGGGGCCCGTAGATGCGTGTAGACTAAGTTGCCAAAGTTTCAGCTTTGTAGCTTTATTAAGCCCGGGGATGAAAAATCGGTACCGACGAACACACAGACACACACAGACGCGCGCGCACACACACATACATACGCACTGACAACCCCTCAACAGTATCTGATTTTGTATTGCATAGATGCAAAAAACGCATAAAAAAAAAGCAAACCTTGGGATGTGCATCACCGCTGCCGAATTGCTCCTCAATCATGCGACGCAACTGATTCACATACACTTTTCTGGTCGTATCAACAACCGGCCCGGCTTCGTAGCCTCGCGAAATCAGTTCCGCTCGAATTTCCTCGTTCGTTAGCTTGTCCACGTCGAGCATTTTTCGTTTGCCTGAAATTTTGCTCGCAATTCAGCAAAAGACGAAATTTTCGAAAGTAGCAACGGTGCAAATAAGTGGGGAACTGCCCATGACCAGCTCCCCCTCCTCAGCAAAGTATAAAGCTGAAACTTTGCAGGGATATTCACTGTGTATGTGCGAGCTAAAGATTTGCAAACAGTCTTCCTCAGGCCTGGAACCGTCTCCACCCGCACATCCAATACCTCATGACGTGGTCGTACGCGCTGCACAAGCAGCTGAATTTGAAATCTTTAGCTCGCACATACATAGAGAATATCCTTGCAAAGTTTCAGCTTTATACTCTGCCTAGTAACTCATTTTCCTTCTTTTCCAGCAGTAACCACTGATGTGCGATACCCACCAGCTAACAGCAGACAACATGCCCTGCTCGTCAAAGTTGCCCGGGGACTCAAAAAGAAGGTAAGCGAAAGTATCAGTGCAGTAAAAACCACCACCTAATACCGACCACACAATCGCTGTGGGAGTAACATTGGCTT